AAGAATTTTATTATAATTATTTATTATTGATTGGACCCATCAACTCTATTGAGCTAGTTCAACTAATAAAACATTAGGATGAATATTGAAAAGATTAGAAGATCTTACAAATAAAAGCAAACAACTTTATAAGACATTAACATATTAAATCGAAAGCAATCGCTTTTCTAAAATTAAAAATAATAATAATAAAAACATAGATTTATGTTCTGTCACGCAATAAGATTAATCAGGAAAAAAAAGTATTATTAAATTAAATTAAATGCAATTAATATAGTAGTTAGAGAAATTTGGACTTTTTTAATTCATCAAATTCATTGATTAGCGTTGAGCAAGGCCATCGCTTCCGCGTAATGTCTTATTTAAGTTTTCCGTTGAATTTATTATATTTTAGGTCTTCACAATTTATTTTTATTTTTGTCCAAAACCATACTAATTAACTTAATCCTTCCTAAATCGTTCCTAATCGGTTAAAACTTTATCTTTATCCTTATAATTACATTTTTTCTATTTTGATGAACAATTTATTTATGGTCTAATCATAAAATAAGTATCTCTTAGATTATAAAAAGAGTGAAATCTATTTTTCTAACTTTTGTAATTCGTTTCTTCTTGTGTAGAAATTTTATTTTATCATATAAATTTTATATTCTTCTCTTTATTTGGTTAAATCTCCAACTTGTTTGACTTATGAAATCAAAGCGACCCATAAGTTACTTAATTAATATTTGATTTATTTTAGTTGTTAGAGGAGAATTTTCAAAATGAAGTACACCATGTTGATTAGCTAAATTAGCCTAATAGTCATTTTATGTCCAAACTTTCTACATCTAGTTTAATGAAGTATCATTTATAGAAAATAAGTATGATTAATTTAGCTAAATGGTAAAGCCAAAAAATTGAGTAAAATTGAATTCGAAAGTCAAACTTCAACTTAACGTAAACAAATTAAAGAGACGTTTACCGTAAAAAATTGTTTGGTCTAGAAAGTTATGATGTCTATGTCTCGCTGTTTAGTCGAGAATAATGAATTCTACGTTTGAGATGCAAAATTGTTCGACTTTTTTATTCTTTATTTTATAGCTTTGTTGTACTTTATTCAAATTTTAATTAAAATAAATGATTCTCATCCATTCTAAAATTAAGATTTTAAATTATATTTTTAATGAATAATTAACAATTTTGTTAAAGATTAAGATAAACAAAATAAATTCGCTTAATTTTTTAATTTTCTTTTAATAAAGCCTTCTTCTTGTTAGTTTTCAAAATTTTAATTTATGGTTTATTTTATAATCTTAATAAAAATTATACCCTTTTATTTTCTAACCAAAGAATAGAATGAATTATCTAAAGTCTGATTATTTTTTAAATAAAATATATTCTTTCATTTTTCAAAATCACCAAGTTAAAAATAAAATATCAAATATTTATGCTATTTTAATATAATTGAGTTCTTAAATTATAATAATGGTTAATGTAAAATACACGTTTATCATATTAAAATCATAATTTTTTTAAATTTTATTGGTTAAATATTGACAAATAAATAATAATAATAACTTAAAAATAGGATATCCCAACCTAACTCGCATCCACCCTACTTTTTTTAAAAAAAAAATAATAAATATTACAGTTTTATAATCTTTTTATATAATTGTATATTTTAAAACTTTAAATTTATTGATCCATAGAATTTAAAAAAAATTTAAAAAAATACAACAAAATTTAAATGTTATTTTAAACCAGCTTTAAGAATACATTTTGGTTGTAAAAAATTTCACCTAAAGTGAGAATAATGTTATATTTAATAAGATATAAAAATAACTCAAATTTGAATTTAAAATGTAGTCTATAAAATCAAAAAATTATACCTTTTCCTTTAATCGATATGATGATGACGTTAATTAATAAACAAATTATATGGCTTAGATTATGGGGTGAGCATCACAATCACAATATCAAATAACTCGCAATCCCAAATAAATAAATAAATAAATAAATATTGCTTAACGTTTAAAAAGGTAGCTGAATTATACAATTCGTAGTAAATTAATGAACCAATAATAAAATAAAATGAAATAAAATAAGAGGAAATATCTTTAGAAGAGGCCGGCGAAAGCGATTGGAAAAGGAACGAAGAATATGCTGTTCACAATAATGGTGGAGAGAAGACGAGGGCAAGGTCTCTTTAATATTCCAATAGCTAAACTTTTAAGCTTTTATTATATTATTTTACCTTATTTATATATAAATATTACTTCTTTAATTATTAAATTTATTTCGTTCCTATGCTTTGGTCTAGTTTCAATTTGATCTCGAACGTTTTGAAACTTTCAGTTTAGTCATTATGATTTGAACTTTAATCAATTGTTTAGGATGATTTTAAAATTTTCGACTTAGTCTAAACTTATTTTATAAGCTAATCCATTATTAATTTAAGATTTTATTAAGTGATAAAACAAAAGTTTGGAATAGAGTTTATGATGTTATACTAATGTTCAAGTTTTTTAAATCAGTTTTACGTGTGGGAATACTCTATATCTTCCTTGAACATCGTATGCTTAGATTAACTTTCAAGTCGTACTTCCATTTTGGAGCAAAGTTTTATGATTCTACACTTATTTAGACTTTTTCAAATTGACTATAGGTACGAGCGTGCCTAAGGATGAAAATCATCTCTGGGCTTTGTAAATTTGGATAAGCTTTTAAGTCGTACCTCTACTTTGAAGTAGAGTTTAAGATAGCACACCTGTGTCTAGACTTTTTAAATTGAATTTAGGTGTGATCACACCTGAGGTCTTTCTTATGAATGCTAGCTTGGTCTTTGCAAGGTTGGTCATAGTGTGATTTCTCCTTCGACATAACATTGATTGATTTAAGAGAGGAACAGTAATTCAATGCTAACGCTTGGATGTTTGAGTTAGTTATAGCTTTAAGATAAGTGTGGTAAGTAAATAAGATCTTTTTTATGTGTATCTTGAAGGCGCACTTCACTCTTACTCATAGAGTAAATTAGGGTTTTCGAAATGTACGCAAGAAATGTTTTGAAGCTCAATATTAAGCTCTCGTCCATTTAGTGACTCTACATGGATCATTAGGACATGAATGACTTAGAGGAATGAGCTTTAGTTGACCTTCGCCCCATAAGGTTACCTGAAGTAATTTATTAATCAAGTAAACAAAGATAAGAACTAGAAATTTAAATAAAATATTAATATGTTAATATGAGTAATTGGATCTACTCGTGGATTCAGATCTTTTTTTTTTTTAATATTAAATCATTAAATCTACTTTTGCATTTGAATATGTGAGAATCTAATGTATTTTATAATAATATTTATGATATATATAAAAAAAAATAGAAAATGGAATTTAATTTATAAATGATGGGAATACAAATGGGGTGTAAAGTGAGTAGAGAGTGTAGATAGATAGGTATGAATCTTTTCGAAATAGAGATATAGACAGACACCAAGAGTTGTGAAGACCTACAGGATTCATGAAATGGAATCTTTTTTAGTAGATATGATGAGTATTCTAAGCCTAAGCTTCTGAATTTCAGGTATTATTCTCTAATATTAAATGGAGCTTTCCTCTTGGATAAGGAACCAAATTGCTGTCTCAACAATTTTTTTTTATTAAATTCAACAAACCAAATTCAATTTAATTTACAAGAGAAGAGAAGAGGATAAAAACAAAGATGAAAATGGGAGATTTTTATTAGTTTATAAAAGGATATACATAAGAGTTTATATTATTTTTTTAAAAATAAAGTGTAAATTATTATTATTTTTTATTATTTATAATTTGGTTCCATTATAAATTTGGGGCATTATCTTCTTTAATATGAGTTTTTTTTTTAAATTAACTAAGAGTAAAACTACTATGTTCAAGAGATAAGATCTTTTCGCATCTTAAGGGGCGAACTTATAGTGGATATCTATGCACGTATAGTACCTATATAACAATCTAAGATCATCACTAGTTGATATCATCTTCTTTTGTCTATGCTTCATTTTGTTCTTGAACTGATCCATTTAAGGCAATGAGGCAAATTACCATTCTTGAAAAAAAAATATTATTTTAACTAAGTATTTAACTCTGAGGACTAAGGGGTTAATTTTGAACTACTGAGTAGAAATAATTAAAAAAAATTATAGGTTTTTTTTTTTTTTTTTTCTAAAGGTTGCATCTTGGGGGGAAATAAAATACTAAATTGGGAAGAGTAAAAGTTGAAAATTTTACCTTGAAAACTGAGAGGTTAGGATTATAGCGAAGAGGAATCCAGGATTGTTCCGACAGAAATAGAGGGGAAAATAAATAATAATAATAATAGATAAAAGGGAAAAAAAAAACCAGGGGCCCACAGGAGAGAATAGGGACACGTGTGAGAATCGTAGAGACCGACTGGAATCCAGTCCAGGTTGTACTAGCATAACTTTACAAATAAAATAATAAATAAATAAAATAAAAAAGGCTTTTGGGGGATGGTAACGGTGTGGGAGCGTCGCCGTAGTGCGCTGTGTCAGCTGAGATGAGTTGGGCCTTTGCGTCAGGAAACCTGTGGGCCCTCGGCCCATTCACGCATTTTAACCTTCCAATAATAATAATGACATTTGGAATATTCATCTATAATTATTTACTATTTTGTCTAATTAATCATCTCTTTTTCTTTTAGTGTGTTTAAATTAACTTAATTTTTAGTAATTTTAAGTTAATGTGAGGAAGAAATAAATGATGATACAATAAATTAATTTAGGAGTTAGATGTAAATAATGGAGCATTGCGAAAAATATTAGTAATTAAAATGTTTATGTTAAATTTATAATTAAGAATAATTTTATATTACAAAAAAAAAATAATTGGGTGAAGATTGCAAGGCTAAACGGTGTTAACGGCGTTAGATTGGAGGGCTGGTTGTGCAGTAAGATATTTGACCGGAATTAGAAGTGACGTTTAGGGGGCCGTTTGAGGTCAATTGGCTGGTTCTTGTTATGTAGGGCAAAGCAAGCGGTGAAGAAGCTGATTCAATCATTCAGAAGAAACCGGTTCACGCCATTTTCCATTCCCAAACCCTCTCATTCTCTTTCCACCTTCACCCAATTTTCTACCCACCTCTCCTCCACGGACCACAACCACTTTATCCGCCGCCGCTGTCGGAAGACAAGATGAAGAGGGAGCATCATCATCTTCATCCTCGCCCGGAGCCGCCTTCCATGCCTGCCGCTCCTAATGGAGACACTTGTTTGAATACTGGAAAGGCTAAGCTCTGGGAGGAGGACGCCCAGCTCGATGGAGGAATGGATGAGCTTCTCGCTGTTTTGGGTTACAAGGTTAAGTCGTCGGACATGGCGGAAGTTGCGCAGAAGCTCGAACAGCTTGAAGAAGCTATGTGTCAAGTTCAGGATACTGGCCTTTCGCATCTAGCTTTCGATACTGTTCACTATAATCCCTCTGATCTGTCGACTTGGCTTGAAAGTATGATAACGGAGCTTCATCCGCCGCCCAGTTTTCCGCAGCCGCCTCCCTCGCAGATGAACGATTCGTCGTTTTTAGCCCCGGCGGAATCCTCCACCATCACTTCCATTGATTACGACCCCCAACGACAGACCAGTAGCCTGATTTTTGAGGAGTCTTCCAGTTCTGATTACGACCTTAAAGCTATTACGAGCAGCGCGATTTATTCACCAAGAGAGAACAAGCGTTTGAAACCCTCGTCCGAGTCGGACTCGGATTTATTCTCTACCTCGGCGATTGGGGCATCCGATTCTACAACTCGCCCCATAGTTCTCGTCGACTCGCAGGAGAACGGAATTCAACTGGTTCATGCTTTGATGGCCTGCGCCGAAGCCGTGCAGCAGAACAATCTGAATCTGGCGGAGGCTCTGGTGAAGCGAATCGGGTACTTGGCGGTTTCTCAAGCCGGAGCGATGCGGAAGGTCGCCACATTCTTCGCCGAAGCATTGGCACGCCGAATCTATCGGGTCTGCCCTGAAAATCCCCTCGATCATTCAATGTCCGATATGCTTCAATTGCATTTCTACGAGAGCTGTCCGTATTTGAAATTCGCACATTTCACCGCGAATCAAGCGATTCTTGAGGCCTTCGAAGGGAAGAAGCGCGTTCACGTAATCGATTTCTCGATGAACCAAGGGATGCAGTGGCCGGCTCTGCTTCAAGCCCTAGCTCTACGGCCGAGTGGTCCCCCAGCCTTCCGTCTCACCGGGATCGGACCTCCGGCGCCGGATAACTCCGATTACCTTCAAGAAGTCGGTTGGAAACTCGCTAAATTAGCCGAAAACATCAATGTGGAGTTCGAATACAGAGGATTCGTGGCGAATAGCTTGGCGGATCTGGACGCGTCGATGCTGGAGCTCCGACCGAGCGAGGTGGAGTCAGTGGTGGTAAACTCGGTGTTCGAGTTGCATAAGCTACTGGCTCGGCCGGGCGCCATCGAAAAGGTTATGTCGGTAGTGAAGCAGATGAAGCCGGAGATCATGACGGTGGTGGAGCAGGAAGCCAACCATAACGGTCCGGTTTTCATGGATCGGTTCACTGAGTCACTCCATTACTACTCGACGCTTTTTGACTCGTTGGAGAGCTCGCCCAACAACCAGGACAAGATGATGTCGGAAATGTACCTCGGAAAGCAAATTTGCAACGTGGTGGCTTGTGAAGGCAGCGACCGAGTGGAGCGGCACGAGACTCTGACCCAGTGGCGAACTCGGTTTTGCTCCTCTGGGTTCGAACCCATCCACCTGGGCTCCAATGCATTCAAGCAAGCAAGTATGCTCCTCGCCCTATTCGGCAGCGGAGAAGGATACCGAGTGGAAGAGAACAACGGATCTCTAACGCTGGGGTGGCACACCCGCCCGCTCATCGCCACCTCCGCCTGGAAACTCGGGAACAACTCGGCGGTGGTAACTCACTGAACAGAGTCAACTCGCTATAAAAAAACGAGTGGACTCAAATTCCCAAATTGGGTTTTTCACCCAATGAAGCAGTGGGTGGCAATAACAACGAGCAATCTTATCTCAGCACCGTCTGTCAGCTTGACAGCGTGACCCACCACTCCCAAATGTGCCTTTCACCCTCACCTTTCACTTTTGCCTGTCACTCTTTTTTTTTTCTTTTGTTCTGTTCTTTTTTGGGTTTCAAGGGCTCTTTTGTAATTTTGAACTGCAAATTTCTGAAGAAAAAAAAAAGAAAAAAAAATGTATTTATGCTTATTTAATAGTAGTAAATATAATTATTATTATTACGTAGAAATTAGACTTGTGATAATAAAAAAGAAAAAGGGGAAGGAAAAAGAAAATTAAAAGAGGTTGAATAAGTGAGAGGCTCGTCTGTTGCACTGAAATTTTTACCAATCTAATGTACTTCTCAATAGTTTAATAAATAATTACCCAAATTATTATAATATGATGAAAGCCCACAAGAAATGAGGTGGAGACTTCCAATTATTCATCAATATTCAAACAGATTCAGAATGGAAGCAATCAAATTAGATTTGTTTAAAGGGATTTGTGACCAAAACAAACTATTTTGCACATGCATCCCATTTATTTTATGTTAATTACACAGACCTATGCTCACTTTTGTGGTGTTGACACGAAAAAAAGGGTATTTTTATCCATATCGCATAAAATGATTCAACTTAATCTGCCAGGTCGTTATTGTTTAATATTATTGGTTGTTGAATTTCTCATTTTACATTTTTATTTTATTTTATGAATTGATAAGTTGTGAGCATGAGTGCAGCTTATCACGACTATCGATATATAAAATAATACAATTTGAATTATATTAATATAACATTCTACTTGCTTTCTAATTTCATTGAAATATTATTCAATTTAAACTTACGAAATACTTGAATCCAACTAATTATTTTATCATTTTATTTTTTACACTTCCCAAAACATATTTATTTTCTTTGTTATGTTACAACAACCCTTTTTTTTTTTTTAGATTTCAAAATTCTCTCGAAGAATTAAAAAAAATTCTGAAAATTATAAAAAAAAATTTATAAAATTAAAAGAATAGATGGCATGAGGGAGGGAGGAGAGTGTGCCACGTGTATTTTGCACATTTAAACTCAGGCTTTCCAAATGGTGGCCCTTTGTGTCCAAAGCAACAAGATAGGCCCAGACAGTTTTTTTTTTTTTTTTTTTTTTTTTTTTTTTTAATGAAAATGTCGTCCAGAAGCTGACGACATATTGGAGTTTAGACGACATGGAGAAGATATTACTCCTCTCCCATGCGATATGTCGGACCCATCCAATTAGTGATTTCTAGTCTCGTGGATTTTTATTGTATAGTTTATAATTATTATACAAAATTATTTCTTTTGCAATCAATTTTAACTTAGTTCTTGCCCCAATTACATATTGTGATCAAATTCACAAACAAATTGTTATGTGGTTATTGTTGTAAATAATAAAATTAACAAATAACTAAATTTAAATTTAAGATACCATTAGACATAATTTGTTTTCATAATTTGAATGATGGGACTTTACCCTCTCACGAGTCTAGGCATTTAGTGAATCGTTCATTCCCAATAATGAACTTCCTTAGACTATCTCCTATATGAACTAGAATGAGTTTTCATCGCTTAGACTTGTATGGGCTTTTCTCCAATTCATCGGTTCTTAAAGCTCAGCTTACTTTCTCATGACATCTATCTCCGTGGTTTTAAAATGCTTTGCTCAACTATTTACTAGTCTCTTTCATCATCATTGTCATCAACCTACAAATCATAGGTGCTCAAGTCCTCACCTCGTCATAATTCCAAATGATAGTTCTTATCAAACCATTAGGGATGTTATCTCATCATCCCTACTAGGGGTGTCTCTATAGTAGGCTTCATAACATCAATATCATTAAAGAAAGAGCGATCCTCATACCTACCAACACTTATCTACCTATGTAGTCACTTGCCCTCATCCGAACAAGATCACAATTAGAGCTTCTCCCCTCAACTCACCCCTTGTATTCAACTTAAACCCACTCGACCCTCACCCAAAAGAGGAGAATCGGATGAAAATCAAGCATTGACAAATATTGCACCTCTCCTTCACATCACTAACCTTGATCACGTACAAGTTGTGACAGTTTCTTCTTTTCATTTTCTTATAATTAATTATATTCTTAATTTTATTTTATTTAATTAGATATTATAATCCGTTCTCGAAATTTGTAGATTATACCACACTCGAAATAACAATACAAATATAAATTTGCTTTAGGGGCCGTATATCAAACATATATTAATTGTTTCAATATTTTCATATAAAACGTCCTTTTTTTTTTTTTAATGTATATTATTAATTTGATGATGTTTATATATCAATGATTTTGAAAGGAATAAATATATGGATATGAATGAATGGGAGGCAAATGCTTTGTAAGAAGTCAAACATAAATTGAGTTTCAAGTTAACTCATCTTTGAATATTTGATGTCTTTGCCTTGTATAAAGGGTCAGAATTATTTTTGCAAGTTTTAAAAAACTATATTTATTTATTTTAATAAAATTATTTTATATTATTTTATTCAAGTTATTATTTTGATGAATTAAAGAGCAACCATTAATATAAAATTTTATTGATTATTAATAAGGTAAAACAAAATATTTATTTAAATTTAAGCAATTATTTTTTTTTAATTGAAATATTGTCAAACATAATCTCCCCTATATCTTAAAAATTGATTTAATATCTTTTCAATATAATAAGTTTGGTCAACAAATCAAATGTAATATAAGTTGATAATATAAAACAATTCATCTGAATATACCAAATTAAACTGAACTCTAAAGATAATTTAATTAAGGTATGTTTTGTAAATTAATATTGATTATTAATGGAAACTCGAAATAACAAATTCAAAACAGAAGAAAAAGAGAAGATTGCTTAACATTAATTTTTTTTTTGTAAAGTTAATTAATTTAATAAATATTGACGTAAAATTAAAATTTTAAAAATTTATTAAACACAAATAAAAAAAATAAAAAAAAATATTAAACATTTTTAAAAGTTAGGAACAAATTTCATTGTTTCCATGGATGAAAAGGGGTTGAACCAAATCTATCATATTGACCACTTTCAAAGTTGGAATGTTTTACACGGAAAGTCTATTCTTAAATATGTTCCATTTTTCTGGTTTGTTTAAATCATTAGTATTAATTTCCATGAAATAAAACTATATATTTCATTATCAATCATTCATTACTTTAATATTTTGTAATTAAAATAAATTTGATTAATTTACCTGACTTGACTTTTGAGTTACAAGGCACTAGCCCAGGCCCAAATATAAATCCATTTCTCCATACAATTCTTAGTTTCTTAAATTATTTTAATGATATTTTTCAAAATTAAATTATTAATTTTAAATAATATTTCATATCTAGTTATCAACCTAAAATTTCATAATAGTTCGAATTTATCCAATTCTCGGTGCAGTATCTTATAAGTCAGTATGAAATAAATGATTCAAACATAACTATGTCTTGGATACATATAGAAAATAAAAACGAAAGATAAACACGAACTAGGATGGAGAATAGGTAACGGAAAATCCTTTTTCCTCCCACTCCGTCCACCATTCCCCGCTTAATTTGGGATTCCTATAATACCCACCGGGGAAAAATATATATAAACGTCCCTAATTGGGAGTACGTCGAGTTTGCTGAAGAGAATTTTGGCAAGAAATGAGTAAATGGCAGAAGACATAGAGTAGTTAATATATATGTGATTACAGGATGAAGTTGTCACTTTGCAGAACCAGAATACAGATAATTCAGGTATATATATATTCATTCTACAGAACCAGAATTCTAAGTCCAGTTTCAGGTCAACAAGGCAAATACCCTTATTTCCTTCAGCTAACATCTACAAGCCATGAAACTGGGAAACTTATTACTTAGTGTACCTAGTGGTGCATCAATTTAGGAACTTAGAAGTGGCTCATACCCTCTTTCGGCAGACCCTTAGATCCCGGAACATCGATCCATTCGAGCTGAATCTCCACCTCACCACACTCTACATTCTTCAACCTAAGGTGCATGTTCTGTATAATTTTCCCTTTGTTCCAAACACATTGGCTCTCATCAGCTAAGTCGTTTGTTCTGCTTGGATATACCCTCTTAACCACACACCCCTCTGGGAGGCTTTCCAGTCCCATCTTCAGACATTCGATGTATGGTTCGATGTCAATTGCGGCATCTCCCATTTTGTCATGGTCTGTTACTGTGTCTTTGTCATACACTGACTGCAAAAATGAAAAACAAAGACGAGAGCATAAAGCAGTAAGTTACACATTCTCCTCATCTGGTGGTTGGCTTGAAGCTCTCGTCCATAATTATCAAAGAGAAATATCACTTACTAAACCGATTGGAGTCCTAAGATCTGCAATAGAAAGAGTCAGTTCATCATTCCATTCAGGATTGCAATTATTTTTCACCACACGGGTCTTCAAACTCTGCACCAGTTTGAGTTATGTAAGAAGAATACTAAAAAACTCATTCAGGATTTAAATGAGAAAGCTTAAAGATATCAGTAATGTGGGCTTTGGTTCATTAGTTTGAAAGCTTGGGTTCTCATAGTTAGAGTTAGGAAACGTAAAATTCTGTGTTCAGAAATGGGCATTGGGAACTTTTTTCTGACTGATTTATGTTTGGTTCATAAGTTTCTTGCAGTACAAATCCGGAGAGATGTATTTCAAGAGTAAAAGTATCATTTCATTGATTATCAAACAGTTTATCTCTAAGACAAGCAATCCAATGTATCAACAATCAACATAAATCCGAACTTCTCAAACCAGGAATCAAATGCCTCAAAAAAGTAGATTAAGACTAAGTTGGATCAACTGTTCTACCATAAATCTACCTATTGGCATTCGCAAGAAAGATTGATGGCACAAAGCATAATCTAATACATATATAACGGTCTAAGCCCATCTCTAGCAGATATGGTCCTCTTTAAAAAGCATATGCTGGGAGACGTTTCCACACCCTTATAAAGAAGGCTTCGTTCTCCTCCCCAACCGACGTGGGATCTCACAACATACCAATGAACACCAAATGATCATATAATTTTGTCTGCATTTTGTGCTTCATCCTATGTTTCCTGTTATTATAAATCACCAAGCATTCACAACACTTCTTTTGCCTATACAAGAAGAAACCTCTTTGTTGAGTGTTGAGAAGTTACAAGAATTTGAGGACACAAACGTCCTACAATCGTATAGAAAATCCCCCAAATCGAAAAATAACAAAGAATACAAAACTAAGCCGCCATTTTAGACAAAATTCAATCAAATCAAATCAAATCAACCTGGTGTTATGGCTAAGATGGTATCATGATCTCTTAACTGATATCGATCAAACCAGATAGATTATCACTGATTTTCTTTCTATTTTTTATTTTCCCTAGAACCCTGCAAGCATATCCGATTAGTCTGAATTAGCACAAACAGTCAGTTTCTTTCAAACGCCAATATATATATTTCTAGGGGTAAAGCAGATCGACGTCAGAGTCGAACAACGTAAAAGGAGCTAAAACAGTAAGCATCCATTCAAGAAATTGTAGCAGAAAACATAGTAAGACCATCAATCTCGCGAATAACAGAAAACTTCAAGAAAGAAATCAAATCGAATACCGTATCGCCCATAGTGACGACGACAAAAGGATCACTGCTACGAGTATCACGAACAGCCAGATTAGAACCGCGCAGCACCCGAATTCGGAGAAGACCCAAGAAGTGTTCCATCGTGGAGCAAATTAGACCTCAATCGTGAAGAAAATCAAATATAAACAATTGCAGTATGTACTTGATAGAAATTTTGATTATCACCAAATGAAAAATCAGAACTCAGAAAGCATCACAATGAGTTGGAGAAGAGAGAAATACAGAATTGAAGATGGAAGATTGAAAAAGTGGCCGGTCGGAACTCGGGGAGTTTCTCTGTGGTCCACCGTCGTCGCCGCACTAAATTGTAGCGCTGCCCGTCAGGTCCCTAGTTTTTTATTTTCTTTTTATTTTAAATATATCAAATTCGGATGACCAAACATTTATTTTGTTATTTAATTTTTTTTAAAAAAAACAAGTTTACATATCACTTTCCATTTAAATTTTTTTTTTTTTTTTTTTTTTTTTTTTTACTTTTTACCTTTTTACTTTTGGGGGAAATATTTCAAGTTATTACCATGAGATTTGAATTTCATAAAATATAACCGTTGCAATGTGTCTTGGTTAGTCGGTTTTACTAATTCCCACATTTATCTAAATGGAAAGGAAGGTAAAAATTGGAATAGTGAGTTAAATAAATAAGGAGTTAGAGATGTGAATTTTGCACCGACATTAATAAAAAAAAATAAATTTTGAGAAAATTCATCCATTTTAATTATTTTATTTGGAGTATAATATTATTTATTGTATGAAAAATTCAAGATTATTAATATAATCATATGGTTGACATACAATCATGTTTAAACAATAATTTGAAAGATCTATAGTTTATTAATAAAATCGGTGTCTTATCATAGAAATATTGTTATTACGTCTCACTTTGTAATGTTCCAGAAGTTTTTGATTTTGTCTTCGAATCGTCAGTTTCAGCCTATTCCCAGCTTGTCTCGCTCTTAGGTTGACCCTTCTACTTGACTATTCTACTCGTGTAATGGGTGTATGGTCCTGTCCCACCTATAGTGGGATCAACTATGATATACTTAATTGATTCTTGGGGGATAGAGGGCTCGTGGTATCAGTTGCCCTTCCTCTTTTGCTTTGAGAATTGTGTGAACAAAGAGTGCATAGAAGGGAAAGAGGTCTTCATACAGAAAAGTTCATCTACAAGATCTGGTAGTGCCCTCGTGGGCACGTTCCTATTAGAGTCAGTATGATCTAATCGAAGACAACTGACTCACATAGAATACGGGGTGAGTTTTCACCGAGTCGATCGCTTGAGTCTATAGACTACCTCGGTTCTCTACGAGGTCTTTATAAATATGTTAATTAAGAATATTAATATTTCAAAAGATGACCATATGCGACTAGGTTTTAATTCTGAGCGTCCTTTGATTTGCATGAATGTGAATGGTTGTTGTAGTCATTCAATATGTTTACCATTTCAAAAACTTGACCAAATAAAGAGACGAGAATATAATTCATGAGATAAATTTACTCATTAAGATAAGTAGATGAATAGTTTACTTAAACACTGATTTCGAGACTTAAATAATAGGGTCCTTCCCTCTCATTAACTCAAGAGGGACTTGATTTATAGTTTGATCAAAAACAAATTATTCATTAGATAATCAATGATATTTGAGGTATGAGATGTAGATAGGGGTAAAATAAACTTTTGACCCAACGGTAATCACAAACAACTTGTGAATGGTCGACTTTCTTGTAATGATTATATTAATAGACAAAATTTATTCTACCGTGTATAATAGTATAACTCTAAGTCTTAAACAGAGTAACTTATAGTTAATGAATGAAAATTAATTAATTAAAAAGTTTTAATTAATTTTATATCTATGTAACGTCTTCATGCTAGTCGATAGTAACAATAAAAAGAATTCATTTATATTAAATACTAAAGGGAAAATATATATATACATTTAATATATTAGATGTATTAAAATAAAAGAGAAAATTATATGGATGGTATTTGATATCTTAAATATTAAAATAATTCATGTATATTATATATCTTTCAAATTTAAATTAATGGAATATATATTAAATATATTATGATATTTAAATAAGATTTAAATACAATATTATATAAATATTTAAATATATTATTTGACAAAACTTCCCTCCAAACGTCTCTACCAATAGAAACTTTGGATTGACTCAAATCAGCATCCGACATTTTCTCCTCTAGAAAGTAGATTTTCTATCCCCACATGGAAACCGATTTAGTTATGCTCATAGTATGCATGAAAGTATAATATAAGAAGCGCGTCATAGAATCTGAGCATAATATGAGTTGACCTAATGCATGTAAGAGCACGTTAAACATTATGATGCATGCTTATCGAGGAATAAACTATTGAGCTATGATTTGATTGAAATCGGAGCATGCCTTTAGTGTGCTGCAAAGCATGTTATAGGAAACCTATTATAAATGTTTGAGCATAAAATGAGTTGAGATGTCACATGTTAAATGTTATTATGCATGTTTACTAAATGCGTACGCACTGTGTCCTATGAACTAAAATTCATGACTAAGTATCCATGTTTACATCGTTGTGCTATGTCTCTATTTCATATGTTTGTGATGTATTCAGTTATACAGAAACGATTAGGGGTTCGCCAACTAACCTTCAAACATGAACCTGACTCAGAGGTTCGGATAACCATAGAACTAGCTTATGATACTTTATGACTTATTATGGTACCCTATGGGGCTACTGTGAAGTTTTCCAGTTAGCTTCATGTAGTGAGCCTGTCACAAGGGATAGAGGTCCATAGTTGTACCTTAAGAGTTTGTTATGATTATTGTTCATACACGTGAGTTATGTGGTTATACGGAGACGATTGAGGGTTTGCCAACTAGCTCCTGTCAGGGGTCCGAATAACCATAGAACTAATATATGATGTTTTAAGACGTACGATTTTTGCTCTGTGGGGACTATTAGGAAGTTTGCCAGTTAGCTTTCCTTTGGTGAACATGTCACAAGCGGCAAGGGTCCACAGTTGCGCCTTAGAGTTTGTTGAGCCTAAACATGCATGAACCCTATGAGATAGACATTAAGATCGCACCTTGAGGACTTAAAGATATGATGATAAAAGAGACTAGCAGAAACGACTAATTAGAAGACGTAGAGAACTTAAGAATGTTACGAGGGCTTGAGGTCCAAATAGGACCAAGAACCAAGAAAATAGAATGAGTAAACCTAGGGGTAGTCTAGGAAACAAATTAATTAAGGCACCGAACCCCCAAATGAGAATAAGGCACCGAACAAATTAAATAAGATTAATAAAATTTTATAACAAACTATGTATTACCAGCAAATTGCTTATTGAATATATTTTATATACTCCTGCTACTTCAATTTTCTTTTTAGGTGGAGCTTGATCTAGCAATCGAGGGAGAGGCACACGTAGGTTGTTGGTTACAGAGAGTCTTGTCACACTTAAGGCTAGATTTCCTTTTGTATTTTATGTATTTTAAATAGTTTGACCTTGTAGTAGTATGTTTTGGTGGTCTACGTTTGTCTTTTATAAAAGCAAAAATTTCATTACTATTTTAATTGAATTAAAAAATGCATATACTCCTCATTTACTCGGGTGTCACATGTGCACCAACTTCCACTTTGTTTGTCCCCGAACCACATCCTACTGGGAGAGATGCTACTCTGATACCATTTGTAATGCCCCATGCCCAAGATTCAAATCAGAATTCATAATCAAGATTCAACACCTGATGTCCCCGTCATTCTCCTGCGACATGGTCACGTTACCTTTCCTTGCTTTTTAAGAGTGAAGACTATCCCCACAAATCAACATGAGTCCTTCTATATGCTTACTAGTAGAGGCATATGCTCTTGCCTGAAGACGGTTCCAAGTAGCCCTCCTTGTTGCGCCTGGACCCCTTTGTTGGTTAACAGGTTGTCTGCTCAACCCTCCATGCAATTCATGGCAATATGTCCTTCTTGACCACACCAGAAGCATGCTCTAGTGCGAGTCAAGCATCATCCCAGTGTTTCCTTCCACATTCATTACACTAGGGTCTTCTTTACCCTACAAGATGAAATTTACCTAGGCTGCATGTGAGTAAGGATAAAATATGCTAGAAGTATTTGTGTTGGTATGTGGAGATAGTCTTCATTATAAGAAGCAAGGAGCATAGGTAACGTAACCATGTCGTAGGAGATACAATGGAATGTTGGGGCTATCAAGTGCTGAATCTGAATTTCGAATCCTTATCCAAATCCTGGGCATGAGTTATTACTGTGATGTCCCACATTAGCCGGGGAGAATAACAAAACACCTTCTATAAGTGCGTGGAAACCTTTCCATAGCAGACATATTTTAAGTCTGGATTAATTTTGGTAGAAATTAATGTGAGTATAACATAAACATTAATGTGTGAGTATAACATAAACATAATAGTATAATATTAAATCTTGTTTTAGATACTAAAATACAATACAGTTGTAACGACCTAGATCTACCGCTAGCAGATATTGTCCTTTTTGGGTTTTCCCTTTCGGGCTTCCCCTCAAGGCTTTAACGTCTGCTAGGGGAATGTTTCCACACCATTATAAAGGTTGATTTGTTCTCCTCCCAATAAATGTGGGACATCACAACAGTAAAATTGAAAGCTTATGGAAAGGTTGGTGGCAATGGTAAAATAGAAATTTCAGACGTTGTATTTGATTTCGTATTTTCAAAATAACTGCAATTATTAGTCTTTAATCGTCCTCCATTTTCCAATTTAGCCCCTAATATTGGTCCAAAACTTCCCTATATTTAATAAGCTCCTTACTTTCAACACATTCTATTTTTAGTAATTTTCATTAAAGTCTTTACTTAAATGGGAAAGATGGGTAATAAATAATAATTTTGAAAGGGTAAATTCATTTGAATTTTTATTTTCAAAACAATTACAATTTGGTCTCTAATCGTCCTCTATT